GGGGGTTAAGTTCTCTACAACCCGTGATTTTGGGTTCTCAACCACATTTCAAGTTCAATCTTTTAACAACCAAACAATGGTTCAAAACCCTTCCCCTTGAACCGAACAGCCCATAAGCCTATTATAAGTGCTGGGTTTTTGAGTTGCAGAGCTCACGTTTCGGAAACAATCCCTGTGAAACTTATACTAGTGGCAGGTCCAACTTGAATTTATTTCTCATTGTCTTCTAGGCCCAAGGTGGGTGCTGGGGATCAATAACAATAGGAAAATATGTCACTTACCATTTTCTTTGCTTGTCCTTTTGTCTATTATGATACAATAGCAATGTACATCATTTTGATGGAAGACGTTGTTGTCTGATTAGATTTTAAATAAGAGGGCAGTTGAAGCATCAGAGAACGAAAGGCCAATTCCAGACATTAGAACCGGAGACATTGTGGAAATCAAATTGGTATTTGTGTTTTTGTTATTCTTCTCACCTTTTTCCCGTTAATTTTACTAAATGTACTGTTTTGCTGTGAATCTTTTTGTGATGATGTTTATGTGATTGACTAACAGGAAGTTCCCGAAAATAGGCGTAGGTTGTCTGTCTATAAAGGTATCGTCATCTCAAGGCAAAATGCCGGCATTCACACAACAATTCGTATTAGGAGAATTATTGCTGGCATAGGAGTCGAGATTGTATTCCCGCTGTAAGTTTCCTTCTTTAAAATTAGCTTGAAGTTTCACTGTGGCTCTGTGCTTGGTTCATTTTCCTGATGTTTATTATATATTTTTAATCCATAGCCCTGCACAAATAACTAGTTGGAGTTTACATGGAACACTATAAATTGGGACGAATTGAATATGAACAACCTACTTTCACTTATAAGGTCTGGAAATAATGCCCTGGTCGGTAATGTTTGCGTTTTGTTTTTTTGTTTTTTTGTTTTTTTATTTATTTATTGTTCATGAAAACTAAAAAGTAAACATTTATCAATTTGTTACTAGAATAAACATTGTCCCCCAAGGGTGGGGGAAGTAAATCATTATTTTGCTATATAAATGTTGACTTTTCTAGTCCCTAACATTATTATCAACTAAATTTAGAAAACATAGAAGACAGGAAAAGGAGACTCCACATAACTCTCTCAGTTTTACGTAACTTTCTCCTTAAGATTTCAAACAAGTCTAAAAAATGATGTTTCTTGTAATGTAAATGTTATTTGAGTTTGCTTCTCTCCTGTTGTCTTTGCAGGTACTCACCAAATATTAAAGAGATAAAAGTAGTTAATCACAGGAAAGTCAGGAGAGCGAGATTGTATTATCTGAGGGACAAACTTCCCAGGCTATCCACTTTCAAGTGAAAATGCTGATGCAGCTGCTCTCTGGTGTTTTTACTTTCAAACTTGTTCCCTGAATCTTGGGATATTTTGAGAACATGTCTTTTTTTTTTTTTGTCCATTTTTGGTAAATGTATCATTTCTCTCTCGTTTTCTCCATTATCTTCATTTTCTTTTGCATCTTTTTAGTGAAATTCCCAACGGAAGAGGCATTGCATTCACATGTGTTAGACTGCATTTGTCGAATCATTTAGCAATTTCATATTTGAACGAAAAGGATCAGAATATGTTCGACTCTGCAACTTGTTCTTTCCCCCTCCCTCTTACGGAATCTCCAAACAACTTTGTTATAAACTTATCATATCTCCAGCGTTGCGTGTAATTCGTGTTCCCCTGCGTCCTTCAAATCCATAATTGAAAACTGTCTTATGTAACAAACGATTGATATTTTGTAGTTTTGCTGCATTTTGCATGGAAGCCTGTTTGGGATCGGACTGGTTTGGTTTGGTTTGGCTTGAACTATGCTAGGGCTATTGGCTTGACATGTTTGGTGGATTTACAATCTAACCGACCAACTCATGTTTAGCAGTTTTTTTTTCCTCATGCGGTATGCAGGATTGGATTGGGATACTGTTTGGGATTAGGTGCATTCTTTTGATTTGCGTTGGTGATAATGGCTTGACATGTTTGGTGGCTATTGGGATTAGAATGTGACATTCTTTTTTCAAGTAGAGAAAAAATTATGCATCCCACTTGATGGAGGGAAAAAATGGAAAGAATTGCACTTCTTTTTTTTTTTTAGTGGATAACATATGGGCTAAACTAGTCTCATTTCAATGTGTGTGTGAGTGTTTTTTTTTTTTTTTTTTTTTTTTTTTTTTTTTGAGCTGATAAGTTCAAGGTCATTGTTGTGGATGAGGAGAGGCAAATAAGCTTTTATTTACTTTTGAAATTAGGGAAGAAAAGGGAACGCTACTTTTGAAGTCATTACATTACACTTTTATAATAAGTCCGAGTTTTGCTCTTTCTGAAGGGTTATAATGCTTTTACTCCAAAAGTTAAATTTACCTCTAAACTTTTAGCGGACTCAAGTGTGAAGCACCAATCCTTTAAAAGTTAAAAAGGATGTATGCGACAAAAAAGAGATTAAAAAAATAATTAAAAATAGAAGCAATCAATTAATTGCTTTAACGTTTAAAAACTCTGCTTTCTTATTAATTTTCTGAATATATGGCAAGTGCAACTATTAGATGGATCTCGTCAGATTCAGAGACTACTTGATTCATCGGTCGAGGAGTTTGATAATTTGATCGAAAAAAATGTGAAGAGTGGCAATTGTAATTATCTTCTCTATTAAATAGGTACAGTATCAAATTATAGCTACTTGTTTGATAGTACGGCATCAAATCATAGTTAGCTTCGTAGCTAGCTAGTTGTGTCGAGAAACTTGAGTTGCAAATTTAGGCCGATCAAATAGGTCAACTCAAGGCTCACCACTGTTAGTCTGGATCGGGTTAGAGTTTTAAGACCGAAATTTTATTCAGGTTGGTCTAATCCTATTCAAATGATCTTTTTATTTTTATTTAGATAATCTTGATACATACATTTTAAAAGTGTAAAAATGTATGAGTCAGAATTTATACCATTTATTCTTAATTCATAATTTTTCCTATTCAAATAATTAAATTAATAAAAAAATATTTATTAAGAATAAAAAATAAAAATTTAAATTCATATACTCTCAAAAATATATTTTCTATTTTTTATTTTTATTTTTAGATACATCCGTTCGTTTCGCTGATTCGAGTTTAGAATTCAAGTTGAGATGTGATTTTATGTGAGAGATTTTTACTGTAGTATAAAAGTTAAATGTGACTGTTTGTGATAACTTTTTACTATAGTAAAACTTAAATTCTAAACTCGAATAAGTGAAACAAACTAGGCTCCTCTTGTACAACTTTGAGCTAGACTCTGACACTATGTCCGTCGGGCTTTATGGTCCAATTGGGCCACCACTCTCCCCTTAGACCGAAATTTCTATCCAGAAAACTACATGCGTAAAGTTGAGAACTGTAATTTTTTTGCTAATCAAGTTGAGAATTGTAATTGTAATAATTAACAGATGTAACAATTCTAAGCTCTTGAGGTTTAGCCTCTGATTTCTTTTGCCAATGGGGGCAAGTACAATGAATTTTCTTTAGCAGGACAACCAATGGAAGGAGGTGGGAGAGGAGAGGTTGGATCTTATCTTAAACTATCAAAAAGAAAATCTCCTTTTAAAGCAAAAAAAAGCAAATCTCCATCATTTCCTTTAAAAGAAAAAAAAGCACAGAAAAATCCCCATCACATCAAGTGCGAGAAAAGAACACGTAAACGACATAAAACGTCCAAGTGTGTTTTGCTTTTGGTAAATATCGTTGTTATTATTTAATCATAATCATGATGACGTTTTGGTTGGTAGCTTGGGATCATAATCTTTGGGCACATGCCACTCACTTAAGTAAAGTGGGGGCCATCATTTAAATTCACTCACTGCACGTTTGTTGCGGCAAACATCTAAACAAAATTACTCCTCAGAGTCCATTCATTTCGTTGATTTGAGTTTATAATTTGAGTTGAGATGTAATTTTATGTGAGAGCTTTTTACTATAGCAAAAAAGTTAGATGTGATTATTTGTGAGAGCTTTTTACTGTAACAAAACTCAAATTCTAAACTCGAATTAATAAAGTGAACATAATCTTTCTTTTAATTCGTTGATTTAAATTTTTAATTTAAATTAATATATAATTTTATGTGAAAATATTTTTTTGTAGTAAAAAGGTTAAATATTATTATCTTTTAAAATTTTTTACTTTTATAAAATTTAAATTTTAAACTCAAATCAGTAAAATAAATAAAACTTAAAATTAAGAAATTGCATTTGAAGTTTGCTTATCAATATTTTTGTATTCAACTTTAATATGAAACAATTTAAAGTCGTGTTCAATATTTTCACTTTAAATTCAGAACAGAAAAATGTGTGTTTTTTTTTTTTTTTTTTTTTCAAAAGAGAGAGGGAGAGAGAAATGGATAAGGTGTATAGAGCATAAAGCCAACAAGAGCTTTCCCTCCCCTTTATGTGCCAATAAGTGGAATTATGAAAAGGGAAGGTTGAAGTTTTTCAATTTATAGATACAACCAAAAAAAAAAAAAAAACATTTATAGATCCAAAAGACCTTAGCTCCATTTAAATAAATAAAAAAAAGTGGCCATTGACTTTTAAAGGGAAAAAGAAAAAAAATACCATTTGTTTACTATTTTTAATTTTTAGTCTGATTATCAAGAAAATTTGTGGCTCTGATCTTCAATACCCAAAATAAAGAGAGGAAAAAAAACAATTTGAGTTTATCAATTTTTGCTTGTTAATTGCCGATGTAAGCAGCACCGAAGGCAAGAAAATTAGAATATTACCGGTGCTAAACACTACAATTAGTATAAAATAAACCTCATTTGTATATCTTATATCATGAAACTTACCCTCTATTTTTATAGTGTACTTAACACCACGAGTGTTTTATAACATTATTTCAAAAGATAACACCTAACAATTGATGTTAATATTTTAAAAAAATTAGATGCACTTTTATTCCATCCTCAAATCCTCCTATACAATATCATTTGTTCCGTGCTTTAAAAAAAATCACAAAAAAAAAAAAAAATCATCTGTTCCATGCAAAGATGCATCAAAATAAAAAAATAAAAAAAATATAGTTGGCCAATGCATGGGCTAGTTCATTCCCTAATTAGGGACATAAATGCTACACTTAAGGTTTAGGAGAGCTACCTTAATGCAAAATGGTATATTAGGACGATGCTAGATTACATTAGAGACGGCCAACTCTTTTTTGATAGTTTTGCATGACAAGTTTTCATTCGGTTCGCTAATTCGAGTTAAGATGTGATGTTGCGTGAGAACTTTTTACTGTAGCAAAAAAATTAGATGTGATTATTTTTAAAAACTTTTTACTGTAACAAAACTCGAATCAGCGAAAAGACGGGACTGACAAACATTATGATCCTAACAAAAATAGGCAATGACATGTAACATTACATTACTGTGAAAAATCAAACACTTTAAAATAATATTTTTGAAAATACGGAAAAAAATTGTTTATACGTAATCAAATATAATAATACATGATTCTTGAAAATAAAATGATAATACATGTCTTTTTAGAAATTATATTGTCTTTTATTACTTTACCGATAATGTAATTTTTATTAGTTATTACATGCCAAACACTCCTTAAAAAATATGTAGTAAAAAAACATATTTTAACGAGTGAATACCACAATTATCAACAAATTTGTATGTGAAAATATCAATTTACGTGATGTTCAAAGCACATAGACATTAATTAATAATTAAAAAAATAAATAACACTAAACAAACATGAAAAAAAGGGATATTTTTTGTTTAAAAAAAAGAATATTTTTCAGTATTTAATATATTAATAAGTTAAATTTTATATTTATTAAATCTATATAAAATCACATAAAAATTAAAAAATATATAAATTTAACTATTAAAATCATATATGTATCAGAAAATCTAAAACAAAAGAAAAAACACTTTCAAAAAAAGAAAAGGAAAAAGGGTAAGGACACGTTGATAAGCCAGATAGTTGACATGTAACTGGGTCCCACTTCCAGACTGGTGAAGTCTTCTCAAAATCCTCTCTCTCTCGAACTTTTGAAGCGGCGTCAAACAATCTCCACATGCCACGTGTCATCTCTCTCTCCTCCTCTATCTGCCATACCATAAGCAAACCATACCTTGTGGGGAACTGAGGAAACCTCCGCCAAAATTCTCTCTCTCTCTCTCTCTAACTCTCTTTCTCTCTCTAGGAGCTTATTAGGCGGAGAAGCCTGGGAAACAGAAGACGAGTTTGGACCGAGCAATCCGGAGTCTCTCGCCAACCGCATGTTAGTCTCTCCAAATTAAGCTCCTTCTTCTTTCCTTCTTTGATCTCCAAACCATTCTCTTTCTCTCTCTAAATCGCGCGCGAACACGCGTATACGCCGAATTCTACTTCTCTCTCTCTTCTGAAAATTTTGCGATTTTGGTTATCTCTGGTCGCGTTTTGGATTGGTTGATGAGGTTTTTGGTAGATTGTTGATCCGGTGGGCTTTTTTACCATGACTGCCTCTGCCGGTTTTAATCAGTTGATCTCCGTTGACCCTGACGAGCTCAAGTTCCAATGTATGTTTCTCTCTCTATCTCTATCTCTTTCACTGTTTTGTTTTCGAATGTGAATTTGGGATTTCTTTATATATATATATATATATATATATGATCGCGAGTGGAAATAGAAATATGATTCGTTATGCATGAGAAGATACGAAATTTTTGTAAGAAGTTTAAAGTTTGTAGATATGGGATTTAGTGGGTGTCGTTTTGTCTTATTGATGGGTATGATAAATGAATGAAAGATTTTGAGGTGAAACAAGACAATTGAGCTATAAGGTTAGTTGTTGCGTTCGAGAAAAGGTAAAGGCAATATATGTTGAGGACAGAAGGGAAAGGTATTTTGGCTGATATTGGCTAGTTGTGTGCTTGACGTCTAAAGGGACTTAGGATCATTCAGATTTTGCTTATGTTATGGCATTTTGCTTCTTTTATTGGGAACTGGATGACCAACTTCTAATGTGGAGTATTAATCTAGGTTAGCCAGGTTCTCTTGGGGGCCATTTTCCTAATTGGCATATTGAGATTCTTTGAGCTACATGACTTCCCCAAGGACAAATCTTTATCTTTATTATAAAAAGAATTGAGTTTTCTGGTTTATTGGGTCTTTGTTTTTATTGTTTCTGGAAGCTCTTTAAGGTTACTTACTAAAATGACTGGATAGAATGTCTGGTTTTAGGGAAATGTTGTTGGGGATGAATTTCAGGTTGTTGGGGATGAATTTCCCGAGTCTTGATTTCGGGAATGGCTTCAATGATCTCGACACGGATTGTTTCGTCAAATGGTGAATATTCATTACTTGCATTCATTTCCTAGGAAGGTGGGAAGGTGGTAAGATAGACAATTCAACGACTTTGCTTATAATCTTCAATTAAGAGGATAAGATGTGTAATGCCGTTTTTTTTACCTGGTTGGCTTGCACCGCTGCGTTTTAGTATTTTTGTTGACATGGTCAGGTAGCTAGCCTAGCTGAAAGAAACGTGTGTAGTAGGTAGCATAGCGTAAAGAAAGGAAGGGATGAGCGCAGCAAATTCACTAATTTTAAATTAATAAGAGACACCTTCAGAACATATGTATTGTGCTGCATCCTGATGGTGTGTTCTTTGAAGTTTGAAATACTAGTGTTTCCTGCAAAAGTGCAACTGTCTGTCTACTCTGGCTCGGAGCCTTTTTCTTTTTCCCCGCAGATTTTCAATCTAGAAATGTTTAACGATCTTGTGATTTATTTAACCAGTTGAGGTGGACAAGCAAAGCTATTGTGATCTTAAAGTTGTCAACAACACAGAACACTATGTTGCTTTTAAGGTATCTTTTATTCATTTTATGAAAATATACACGCTCCAATCCATTATGATTATTCTTAATTTTTTCATTGGTGACTGTGTTTTTTGCTAGGTGAAAACCACATCACCTAAGAAGTATTTCGTACGGCCAAATACTGGTGTTATACAGCCATGGGACTCATGTGTCATCAGAGGTACTACTAGTTACATTGAAAAAATATTGGATTTTTTATTTTTTCACTTATTTTTGGGTCCTTTTCAATTCTAATAATAAAAACATATAGGTACATTTGTTAGAGTATACTCTAGCGAAAATGGTCTTTCAACTCCTCAACTTGCATAGCCACTGATAGATTTTTTGTCTAGGAAATATATTGCAGCACAAAAGGAAACATGCTAACTTTGACTAACCATTTGACCTAGCTCATGAAAAGTATACGTGGCTATTATGATCCTCATACATTCGCTCATAGCTCTTCGGATAATGCATTACCGACTTTCAACCAGCTAACGTTGGGATTTTGCAGTGACCCTCCAAGCCCAACGAGAATATCCTCCAGATATGCAGTGCAAGGATAAATTTCTCTTGCAGAGTACAATAGTTTCTCCGAATACTGATGTTGATGATCTTCCACAAGATACTGTAAGTTTTTTCACTTTTATGCAAATTCTCTTGTTTGCCATTTGGATACGCAGGTTATCATTTTTAAACGCCACTAATGTTGGGAGAATGTTGTTGACGTTTTACGCAGTTTAATAAGGAGAGCGGAAGGGCGTTAGAGGAGTGCAAGCTCAGAGTTGTTTATACCTCTCCCACCTCAGCTCAAGGAAACTTAGATGATGAATCATTAAAAAGCTCTACGCGTAGTCCTACTCGCAGTCCTGATGACAATTCTGTGAGTTAGGATTGACATGGTTTTTCGTTTGAGTGAATTATCTTCAACTACTTAAGAAACCTAATACAAGAATATCTTCATATTATTTCAAGACGCAAGGTGTCAAAATTTTGTAAGTTTCATAAAGTAAAATTATTGTTCTCGTGGGAAATCAGGCCCATCCTATATTGGCTACCTCTTACAAGTTCTATATTAGTTTCACAATGCATCTTGGATTATTACTTATTCATTTTCTTCATGATGAGCTTCATTTTCTTATTAATTTTATCACTTCAAACTATCATAAGCAATAAAATCATAGGAACTGGTTGGTTCTATTGTTAGTCTTCTGCTTGTGAAGTAACCAATCAAGAAATGGTACACAATGAGGCTCATAAGTACACTTTTACAGCATATTTCAGAACTTGTGTCGATTGCTATTACTAAAAGTTTATCTTGTTATGTAGAATCAAGCTGTACAGCGGCTGAAGGATGAAAGAGATTTAGCTGTTAGACAGACGCAGCAACTTCAGCAAGAACTGGTCGGTTCTATTGTTATTCTTCTGCTTGCTATGTTTTTTCTCTTATAACGTCGGAGCATTTGTAGGGTGTTTTATGCATTTACTTAGTTTTAACATCCATGGTGATTCGGCCATAGTAAGGTAAATTACAGTAATAACTTTATAAAAGACAGACAGAAAGTGAACTCTCATCATCTGCTCCAACTTGGATTTTCATGCTGCCCATCGAGTTCATCCCTATCTGAACTCTCAAAACATCATGTGTGTTGACGTTCTATGAGATATAACTTGGTCAAATCCATTCAAATAAGGAGATTAAGGACTTTTACTAGACGACTTAAAGTAGATTCTGACAAAAAGACGTGAAATGAAAAATTAAAGAAAATGATAAGTAAAGAGAGATTACGACTTTTACTAGACGACTTAAAAGAAGATTCTGATGAAAGGGCGTAAAAGGGAAAAAGGAAAGAAGACGACAAGTAAAGAGGTATTTGGATGATTGAAGAAGGAAGGACAATAATATCTTTCTAGTTTCAACCGAGACTTTGATGAGGTCTCTTGTGAATTGTAGTTTGTACAATAACAACATTACATCTTTCTGGTTTATCACTAACAGATTTATCTCCATAATTTTTTGTTCTCCTAACAGGACATGCTTAGGAGGCGAAGATATCGTAAAGGTGACCCGGGATTTTCCTTTGCCTTTGCAGTGCTTGTGGGACTAATTGGACTCATGGTTGGCTTCCTTATGAACCTTTTATCGTCTTCACCAACTACATAAAGAAATGTTACCATGTCTTCCGCACACATATCTTCTTGTTCGATTTATTGTATAAACTTTCTTGCGTTTCCGTTGGATGGAAAGTTTGCCCGGTTACCTTTTTGAGTTCTTTGTATATTGATAATCCTTATTCATCTGTTGGTTTATAAATTATGTCTCTCTCTCTCTCTCTCTCTCTCTCTCTCTCTCTCTCTCTCTCATAACTGAATGCAGTCCCGTTCGGTTCGCTAATTCGAGTTGAGATGTGATGTTGTGTGAGAACTTTTTACTGTAATAAAAAAGTTAGATGTGACTGTTTCTGAAAGCTTTTTACTGTAATAAAATTTAAATTCTAAACTTGAATCAATAAAAAGAACGGGTTAACTTTTTTATTTTTTATTTTTTTGGGGTGTGTAAGAGTAGTTGATTTTGTCATTTTATGCATCAGTGATTCCGTTTCAGTGCTTTTCTACAAAATACCATCTCGTTGCCAAACGACAGCAAATTCTGTAACATAAGGACATGAAGCTCGTGGGCTAAACTCTAAAAGCAAAAAAGGAGTGCACGTCGTTTTCCAAACAAGCAAGTCCTTGAGAGGAACACACTTCCGTATATGGCCTTGCAAGAAATCGACAGGAGACTTTTATTCAAGAAACGACGTGTTACTTTTCAACCTGAACGACAAGAAACTTTTTTAAAAGAAAAATGTTGTGTTTAAGAAGAGAAGCAAATAGCTATTAAATTTTACGGGAGATCTTGTAATCTAAACCACTGTGATTTTTTCTTGATAAAAATGCGAAGGCTGCTTAAAGCCGACTGGCTGATGAGCAAAAGAGAATCGATTAGTTCAGGACAACACGTGCTGTCTACGTCGAATAAACGACCTTATTCCAAATATATTAAAAACAATAACAACAATAGTATTTATAAACGTTGCGTTTAAAATTCATTTTAAAATAATTTTATTTTTTTATATAAAAATAAAAATGAAAATATTTTTAATCTCAAATAAAAATCATTTTTAAAAATGTGTTTGGCAGTTTTATTAAAAAAATATTTTTAGTATAAACAAATTCATTAATATCTCTCACTCTTTTTCTGTGCTCGAGAGAATAAAAAACGGAAATAAAAATAAAAACGACTAAAAGTCGTTTTTCATTTCTCTCTTATTTTACACTAAATTAAAAAATCATTTTCATTTCTATTTTTTGTCTTTAATTGTGTCAAACGCCGTGTCTCTTCCGTTTTCATTTTTTTTCTCAAAAAATATGAAAAATAAAAACAAAACTAACTCCAAACAGGACCGGGCTGTAGTGTTTTAAATTTTTGTTTTAAGAATTGGAACTCTAATATTGCGTTTTTTTTTTTTTTTTTTAAGAATTCGTACTTTGAACCTTAATATTAAAAAGTGCGAATTTAAAGATCACAAAATTAAATGATAAAAGAAATCCATTCTTTAACCTAAACAGCATAAAATCCCAAAGCATAAACAAAGCCATTTTACGAATTAGATTATATTAACGGAAAAAATGCATGCCACTTTTCATTAAAAGTGCACGGCATGTCGTCTTACGCCATAACGACGAACAGTGTATCATCGTCTTCTGAAGAAACGCCAGCAAAATTTTAAGAGAAAAGCGATGTCGTTTCTCAACATCAAATGTCGAGTTTCCCACACGTGCCAATTATTCAACCTCACACGTATGTCACATTTTTGGCGCTCCTTTTTCCCGCTGCCCGGAACCCCAAATCTCAAATCATCAACCCCTCCCATTTCCATTACTCACTACTCTCTCCCTCCCTCTCTCCTCTTTCTCTCTCTAAAAAAAAACTCCATGGAAACTCACTCCACAAGCTCAGAACTCATCTTCATAGCCAGCTCCGGCCATGAGAGGGCTCGCCACCTCCTTGCCCTTCTCCTCTCGCTCGGCCGCCCCGCTCGCCCTCCGGAGCTCGCTTCCCTCTGCAAGTTGTTCCCGGCCTCACCGGAGCTCGTCCACTACCTCTGCTCCATCCCCAACTCTCCGATCTTCTTGACCAAAGATCTACTGGTCGTGCCCTCTCCGGTTGCCGTGACGGCTTTCACTAAGTCTGTCGCGACTTCGGATTTTGTAAACCCGATCTCCTCGTCGACGTCGTCGTCTTCGCAGCGTCTTGTGATGTGCTTTGAGAACCGGAAACGACTGTTGTCGGACTTCGAATTCACGCAGCCAGAAAAAAGAAGATTGACTTTGTTTTCCGGAGACGGTAATTTGAGGAGAATTATGTTTTCTTTTTCAGAAACTTCATTTTGTTTTGGGATTTAACTGATTTGTTGATGTTTGATGCAATCCAGAGAAGAAAGAGAATCGAGTGCCGATAGAAATCCAGTATACTTCTCCAAAGGTAACTTTTTTTTTTTCTGATGAATTTATCTGAATTTTAGAGATCTGCATTTTCTGTTTTATGCGGTTTCAGGTCGTAGATTTTTGTTCAGTTTTTCAATATTACGGGCTAAGGTCGCATTTTACAACTCTTCATCTCTGTTTAACAATATGGAGAGACATATTTTTTCATTGTTGTTTGAAGAAATGGAAAAAAGTTAATGCTTAGAGGATGAATCTACAGTATTACACGAGGTTGATAATACTGGAAGGCAAATCTCTCTTTTTATTATTTTTTCTTATTGCAAAACAAAGTTGAGTGTTTGGTCAGCTTTTAACTATATCTGAAGAATTTTACATTTTAATGGAATTATTAGCAACTTCTAAGATGCACATTTGCTCGCAAATTGCATCATAAATGTAAATTGAAGAGTCAATCCCCTCCTTTGATGCAATCAATGTGCACTTTTTTTGCCTTCAAGTTTATTGTTATGTTTTCTACAATTTGAACTCATTTATGGTATTCTCTCTTTCTTTCTCTAGTCTTTAAAATCAAGTAGTTTGATTGCTTATTGTTTCTTGCTCTTTTCTTAGAAACAAAATCTATCACACTTTTCTCTTTTTGAGAGCATTTTTGATCTACAGGAATCGTCTTTTTTCTTCCTCGCTAAAACTATATGAATTTTGTGAGGTCTAGAAAATTTTTATTCTTGGTAGCTGCTGAATCAAATGACTTATGCAGGTACCTCTTAACGTAATTGATCACTTCAGCTGGAGAATAAACACAAATCCACTTGACATGTCAAAGATGGTAGACGACTTCATATTTGCTGCCCCTTTGTCTGGAAAATCTGGTGCAGTACAATTGAGTTGTCACCGGACAGAAATTAAATTTATAGAAGGTGAAATGGGTACGAGTTTTTCCATGCAAAGGAAGGTTAACAAAGAAACAATGGCTTGTGAACCTAATCCAGAGCCAGCTCTTCAAATCAGCATGTTAGAAAATCTAGCAGTGCCCAAAGGAGCTTTTAAAGATGGGGCAAGTGGTGATGGGAATTCCACAGCTACAAAAATTAGGATCTCCGAAGAGGAAAGAACTAAAGGAAGTCAAGAGGAAGAAAGGTCACTGGCTTCTGGCAGTAATATGGGAGAAATGGGAAATCAGTTCCAACTACTTCACACCATTCTTTTGGATACACCACATGGAAGTGGTGGAATGGAAAGGGTGAACTGTTTTGATACAATGCCATACTCTGAAAAAGAGAAAACGAATAGGCATGTGGAGCCATGGGCTCTCCCACCAGATTCTAGTCTCGTTGTTGCTCAGAATAAGTTATCAGAGCCCTTTGCACAGATGGAGACTTTTCATGTGGATGCAGCATTCTTAAGTCTAAAAAAGATTTTTAAGTCTTTAGGCCATGACAAGGCTGATGATACCCTGAAAGAGAAAGGACAGTCTAAAGGAGATTGCAAAGTAATTGACATAAGGCAGACATTAAGGAAGAAAAATAATAGTGACATGCATACCAAACAAAGAAAGAGAAGCTCTACTTCTATTTCTCCGAAGGTATGCTTCACCTTATGGAATATCTGTATCTCATGCAGATCTTGTTGGTATGTCATTCGTACATCTGGAGTTACTCTAGTTGGTTTTCAACAAAAGCATAGACTATTTGTATTTGATGATGCTTACTTTGTAGGACCGGATGGAACAAAAAATACTTCCAAACTTTGAATCTTATGTTGTAGAAGAGGAAGAAGGTTCAGGTATGTTCTGATTATGCATTCTACTTTCTGCCCCTTTACTAACTTGTTTACTGTATTTTATGTATTTATTGCCATTGCCAACATCCAATTATGCAGGTGGTTATGGGACTGTTTATCGGGCAAGGAGGAAGAATGATGGAACTACTGTTGCAATTAAGTGTAAGTAAAGCAAAACTTTAAATTTCATGTCGTTTTGTTTCCTGTCCTGAAAATTTAGGAATTAGGATTATGAATATAATTTCTGCCTTCGCCTGCAAAATTATCATAGTTCCTAAGTATGTCTTTCTGGACATGTAAAATAGCAATTGGTCTGGAATCAGTCAGTCTCAGACAGTCTAAATGATAGAGCTGGGGATATCTAGATTATAGAACCATGGATTCCAGTCTGGAAATTAGACTAGATGATTTGACAACAAGATGTGGATTTGTGTCTCACAAATATTTAAAGTCCACATAACTTCTCATTCTCAGCATGGAATACGATCAATACTTGTATCAGTATGATGTGAGACACTTCTTGATCTCACCTTCTGCACCTTTTATGTTTGCAGGTCCTCATGCTAATGCACATAAGCATCATGTTTACAATGAGCAGAGAATGCTGGAGCGATTTGGGTAGTAATCGTATGGAAATTTGCAGCGTGCTTTGGTGTCAAGTTTGGATTTTTTAACGCCAATATTTTTCTGTAATACAGGGGTAAAAATTTTGTCATCAAGTATGAAGGTTGTTTCAACAATGGAGATTCCGATTGTTTTGTCTTAGAGCATGTTGAGCATGACAGGCCTGAGGTAATGATTCTACATTTTATTTGATTCCTTTTCTTCTCTTTCCTTCTGCATCATGTTTTGATGTAATTTTGCTTTCAGGTCCTAAAGAGAGAAATAGATGTTTTTCAGCTCCAGTGGTATGGATATTGCATGTTTAAAGCACTTGCTAGTCTTCATAAGCAGGTATCAGGTCATTGGTGTATCGTATGAGGATCCAAGTTCTTATGCAACACACAAAGTTCTTGAAAACTATTGTTTCTGCATTGGCAGGGAGTAATTCATAGGGACGTCAAACCCGGAAATTTCCTTTTCTTTCGTAAGGCTAATAAGGGGCACCTGATTGATTTCAACCTTGCGATGGTTAGTTACATTTACCTACTAGTTTCATGGTTCTTGTTGGAAGATTACTAAAATAATTGTAATCAATTTGTACTATATATGGCATGTAGATAGGCTGTCATATTGTAGCCATGCTGTCAAAGAGGGATTTTAGGAGATAATCGTTTAGCTGATTATTTCTCTTTAATTAGGGAGATTAGTTACCTTTTTTTTTTTGTACATCAGCAGGGAACTTTATATTCCCGTGTAATTTAGCTTACAAACTGAGCAATTCAATATACATTCAAAATCCTATTCTCTGTTTTTAGTTATCTAGTTTGGGCCTATTGATTCTTTCTAACCCTGCGTAGAACACTCTGCAATCTGTTTGTTCATTTAAGTGATTTTTACTGTCTATTGCAGGACTTACATCAGAAGTATGGAAATGCCGGTGAGTCTTCATCTACTCTGGGATTTAACTAAATTTAATTGGTTTATAGTTTTAGAAATATTTATGACGAAAGTATATATCCCTTAGTACCTTGTTGGGTTACAAAGTTTCAAGTTAGAGTTCACCAGTTAAATCGGTTTATAGTTTTAGAAATATTTATGACGAAAGTATATATACCTTAGTACCTTGTTGGGTTACAAAGTTTCAAGTTAGAGTTGACCAAAGTATGTTCCTTATGTATACATACTTTATTCAACTTCTTGCATCTTTCAACGAATGGCCTTTTATGAAAGGATAAATTGCTGACTGTGTAATCGTAAGTTTCTTTGCCCTGTTATCGCCATAAATATCTGATTAACAGGCAAAACTTAATGTGATTCCAATGTATTCACAGGTAAATCAAAGGTAGGCTGTGATGCACACATCAATCCCTACAAACTTTCCAATGCAAAATCTGTTCAAACCAAAGATTGGACGTTAGCAAATCCTAAATCCTCAGAAACAGCTAATCTCAAGAGAACAAAAGATAAAAAATCAAAGATAGACATAAAGAACTTGAGACAAAAGGCTCTGGCGCAAACGAAGACTTTGAATAATGATTTGGGTAGCAGGAACGTTAGCAAAAGTCAAGGTGCAGATGGCTCTGGCATTACCTCAGCTGAAAGGATGAGGGAACCTTTGCCATGCCAAGGTAGGAAGGAGCTCATCAGCCTGGTTCAGGAAGCAAGGCAGAGTCAAAATCATGTAGCGTCGAGTGTTCTATCCCCAAAGAGAAAGAGGGTCGTAGCTCCCCCGCAAAATGTGGATAGCATGCTCGTTCATCTAACTCCAATGCCGGTGGTTTCAACTGGCATCAGTGTTGGTGGTTCCCTCTTGATGAAAAAAGGTATGTTTTGTCTAGTAATTAGTACAATGTCGATGTACTTCGCAAGCTGATTTTAATCAGATTTTCCTTTTAGGCAATGGAAAATACAAGAAAGAAGGTCCTTGTGTTGGAACCAAAGGCTTCCGGGCTCCAGAGGTTAGAATTTCATTACAATTTAGTTTGAAAATTGAAGATAACATAAAGCAATTTAGAATAGAACAAGGAGTCTCTCTCTGAAATTTCTCCCACACCACCGATTCATTCTTCCTAGTGAAATCACGACTCAAAAGAGTTTTAAGGGACTTTTGAATTTATTCATGATAAACGCATCCCTTGTCATGATTTCTTTTTCCAATTTGAGCTGTTGCCTCATTTTTCTGTTCTTTTGCAGGTTCTATTCAGATCTCCCTTTCAAGGTCCCAAGGTTGATATCTGGTCTGCCGGGGTTACCTTACTTTACCTTATGATTGGGAGAACACCCTTTTTTGGGGATCCTGAACAGTAGGCATCTGTGCTTTTGATCCAGAAGCTTTATATTCACACACACACACACACATACATATACATATACATATATATATTCTAGCCTTATGTTTCCTCTTACCATGTTACTACCATATTATCAGGAACATAAAAGATATAGCAAAGTTGAGAGGCAGTGAGGATCTATGGGAAGTCGCCAAGCTACATAACCGTGAATCCTCGTTTCCAGAGGTATTTACCATCCGTTATATACTACTGTCTATTTACTGGTTTTGAAACCACAGATTTTATATCCAATCGTCCTTCACAGGATCTATACAAATCTGAGTCCTTACCATCCGTCAAACTGTGGGATTGGTGCAAAATGAGCACAAAGCGACCAGACTTCTTAAAGGAAGTACCCCGATCACTTCTCGATCTCTTGGAAAAATGCTTGACTGTGAACCCGAGGCTGAGGATAACTGCAGATGAAGCCCTTAAGCACGAGTTTTTCGCGCCATGCCATGAAGTCCTGAAGAAGCAGAGGCTGCATAGGCAGATGCTAAATCAGGACTCACAAAACAGTGCTTTATGTAGTAAAAGCGTCGACAAACCTGCAAAGATTTCTCAAGGAAAAAGCTTGAAGCTTTCTGTAGAATAGTGAATCTAACGATACACTGTAAGTTGTTTAACCCCAATTTTTACTTGTTTGTACCATTTCCCATTATTTTTTTTGTAACAATCTCAGGCCAAGCCTTGTTACAGCATTGTCTGAGTGTGACATATCATTAACTTACTTTTTGGTTCTTTTGGTAAATTGCAAAATTCGTGATCATTCTTTGTATATGAAGATCAAAAAATCGTTTACAGATACGTGTTTTATATAAAAGGTAAAAACAAACCCTAGTTTCACATTGTTTAAATACAAAATAAAACACTGATTTTATAAAAACATTCAGCTACTTCACGTTTCAGATAGAAGCATTTCTTAGAAAGTCTAAATTTCACATTTCGTGTGTTTAATAGTAAACATACTTAACGGCTGATGCTTGATTTAATGCTGAAAATAGCATTTATCAAGCAACCTGTTTGTGCCAACTCGAACCTTCTGGCTTCCAGTATTGTTGAGCTATGTTGGAATGAATCCAGGATCGCCATAGTAATCAACTCTATAAAAGCTAGAAGTATTTGGAAAACTCTAGAGAATGCATCTGCTCCTTTACCAGACTCTTTCAAATTACGTTTTTTTGTGATGTTTTATTCATGCTATAATTTGAAAATAGATTGATCTTGGACAAAGTCATACTTTTGTTATTTATCACTTTCAATTACAATGAATTAGCATTATTGTAGTTGTTGGACTAATTAAAGAGCTAATTATGTCACCTCTCTTACTTGGCAAGATTCTATTGGACATGCCACGTAAACTCCTTGTGTTCCCTTTCATAGCCTTACGGCTTACAGCGGCAATATTTATGTTTTTAAAAAAAAAAAAAAACTTTTAGGACTTTTATGATAAGATTTCTCCATCAATAAAATCTGACTGTTAAATTTAATTAAAATATTATACAGCACAGGAAATTTTTAATATAAATATATAAATAATTTATGTTTTCTATTTTACGGAGAAACTCTCTTTACTTTTTTATTATTATTGAAGTACTCGACAGGATAAATCAAAGATGCTTGCTTAGTGGCAAAGCGATGCCACCCATAACGAAAATGCAAAGACTCTCTTCTCTTTGGTTAACGTCATTGGCTTTTTCCCATTGGGCCTAGGTGGTTCTCGAACACCCAAATTCCTTAATTACCCCTACTATCCCTTGTTGCGCTTGACCCGTTTGTAAGTTTTAAAAACCCGGATGAGTCCTGGTGGGAAGAGCTGGTCTTTTTTTTTTCCTAGAAGAATTTTACAGCCTGTGTTAAAACAAACCTTAAACTTCAATTCATACATAAAAATAAGGAGTTTCAATCGTCGATTGACAAGTTTGTATAGGAAAAAAAAAAAAAAAGAATTTAGAAATCAACCTATGAATGAGAATCGTTTTGCCTCAAATTAATAACTCAAATTAATAACATGGGTTATTTTTAGGATAAAAATCATGATGTAGATTGGTTGTTATGTATTGGCTCTTTTTTTAAAGTTAGATTTATTCTTCCTAACTCAAATTTCCTTTTTAAACTCAAAATTAATACCCTGCATTTGCTTTCAAATTTACTTATAACCTAGGTTTTTTTTATTAACAAAAAAATCTAATCTAATTAAATTTAAATTATAAAATTAAATAAAAATAAAAATCGGGTCCAAATCGGGTTCCGGCGGAAGCGACCCTTGCGCGTAAATATCTCCAAATGAAGGGTACTATAGTAAGTCCAAGAAGCCTCGAAATTTCCAAGAAACTCACTTAAAATTCGGATATATATAGCAGTTTTTAATAACAAAATTTCGTGTTTAGTTCGAGTTATCGTACCAAAAAGCCGGTTCAACTCTGTCTTGCTGTTCACAATCGATTTTCTCAGGAATTTGTTGCGAAAATCTTCTTCAGTGGAGATTTCCCCAGAAAGAAAATGGAAGCCTTCTCATCTTTCTTCGATCCCAATTCCAAATCTGGATCGAGAAACCAATGGAGTTACGATTCGCTCAGGAATTTCCACCAGATCTCTCCCCACGTCCAGGCTCATCTCCAACAGGTAAGCCGAATTTTGTCGGCTCATGATCTTTCATGTTCTTTAGATTCTGTTTGTTTACCGAGAAAATAGGGGATGAAAGACGAAAGATTCTTGCATTTACCGCGTGAACTCCTAGGGTTTTGGTTGACTTTTATTCTGATTCATCCAATTGATCGATTGGTTGTCCTGTGATTCCCTTTTTGTGGAGCCGAGCGCAAATAAAATGAAGAAATTAGGAAAATTTGTTTGGTGCAATGAAATTTAGGTTTTCTGTTGCGGTTTTTGTCCAATAACTTGATTATTGATTTGAAGAAAAGGGTGAAAGTTGTCTTGAGATTATGCTATAAAGATGAAACTAAATATTAAATGAATTATAGGGTTTGGCATAACTTGGTCGCGTTTCTTCTCTTTCTGTGGAAGAAAGTAGTGTAGTTTGGTTAGTTTCTCTTAATTTCTCTTTCTTGTTTTAAATTTTGATGTCCTTGCCTACAAATTTTTTAATTTGCTCATATAATCTTTTAGTTTGTTTCCACTTGTAGCTTATGAGAATTGTTTATAGTTTTATCTGCAGTAGTTTGTTTGATCTTCATAATTTGACTTAGTTTTTTTTTTGGTAGCTTTTGTTTGTTTTATTGTCTGAAGAGTGAAGCCTGTAGAGAAAGATTCTGTTAGGGCTGTACTAAGTTTGGTTGCGTCTTTAACTTTGTAGGTTTACATCACTTTATTTTGGGCTTTGATCGCGTCCGCTGTTGGGGCATACCTTCATGTTCTTTATAACATTGGTGGCTTGCTTACAACTCTCGCCACCATGGGATGTATGGTCTGGGTACTCTCAACTCCTCCTTATGAAGAGGTATGATTGTTGTTTTTTGTTTCTCACTTTGCTTGTTATCTCGTTCGGTACTCTGCTTGGTTTAGTTATATTTTATTCTGACATTTTTTTTTGGTTTATTATTTTGAGCAGCGAAAGAGGTTTGGCGTGTTGATGGCGGCTGCTGTTTTTGAGGGGGCTTCTGTTGGTCCTCTGATTGATCTAGCTGTTGAGATCGACCAAAGGTATATGTTTGTTTGAAGTCACTTAATATTTTTTTGGTGATTTGAAGTTACTTAATTTGGATTGAAGGTTAACAAAAGTATACGTCTGGAACCGTGACTTGAGTTTTGATTATGGATGAAAATATATCGATCTAGTTATAGTTGCCTTTCCAAACATTTTAGCAGCAGAATTTTAGATATTTGATGCAGTTGATCTGGTTAGTTTATTTTTATTTTATTTGTTTTTTTTCTTTAATTTTGACCTTTTGTGTTACAAAATAATTATTATAATAATAATTATTATTATCGTTATTATTATTATTAATGCGTTGGACGTGGTTGAGATTGTTACCCATGCTTCGACACTTTTCTGGTGATTGAAATGTTTATTAGTTTGTTGCCATTTATTTTACGGTTTAAACTTGAATGTTAGAAGGGTTTGCTGATTTTTCAAAATCATTTCCTCTTTGTCAGCATTCTTGTCAGCGCATTTGTGGGAACTTCAGTGGCGTTTGGCTGTTTCTCAGCAGCAGCCATGTTGGCTAGGCGCAGAGAGTACCTTTACCTTGGTGGCTTACTTTCTTCGGGCTTGTCCATTCTTCTCTGGTTGCACTTTGCTTCTTCTATCTTCGGGGGTTCCACTGCTATTTTTAAGTTTGAGGTTAGGTTACTAATCCTGTTTTTCAGGAAACCATTCATCGTTTGCCTTTGCACTTCTGCTTATACTGTTTTCCTTCACTTATCTGCAGTTGTATTTCGGGCTTCTGGTGTTTGCGGGCTACATGGTAGTGGACACTCAGGATATCATTGAGAAGGCACACCACGGTGACACGGACTACATTAAGCATGCCTTGACCCTTTTCACGGACTTCGTTGCTGTCTTTGTTCGAATCCTCATTATCATGGTAAGTTGTCCTAAATCTATTTCAGGGTACATTATCAGTCCTACGTGTATCTATTTATCAATGTTTGTTATATTGTTATCCGAGTAACTAATCGCATGAAATTCTCTGTGCAGTTAAAGAATGCATCTGAGAAGAATGAGAGGAAGAAGAAAAGAAGAGACTGAACTTCAGTGGAGAACATGCCAAGGAGCGATCATCCTTTACTATATGAAACTACAAACTTTTCTGTATTATCTTTTTTTCATCGTAGACTAGAGAAAACGCCCGAACAAGAAAGTGAATACATGTGACCGCTAGTACTTGTTAAGTGGTATTTACTTCTGTCTAGTTTTGCTAATGTCACTTTTGTGTGATGTAAATCTGAAATCATCCAAATGGTTTACGTTTTCTTGACGTTCGTTTTAACTTTTGATTGTATGATGAATTGAATGGCACTGTTTGGTTTACATTTCTCGGCAACTCACTCTTAGTTTCATCCTTGATATTTGATCGTTAAATCCTGGTTTCAGCATTTTTCATCCTGAGTTGGAGGTTCAATTATTCGAGAAAAATCACATCAATTTGTAAAAGTACGTAGAACAATGGCAAAATGAATAATTATCGCTAGTTTTCTTTCTTTTTTTTTTTATTTAATAGAGAAGTTCTAAAAAAATTGGTGTAGAGTAGAAAATCAAAAGATCGTCTGCAGCATTCATAATTGTTTCAGCATTTCAGGAGAGCAAATTCATATGAAGACGAGTTTTTTATGTATATATAATCATTTTTTTTATCGATTTAAATTTAAAATTTAAGTTTTGTTATAATAAAAAAATTTTAAAAATAGTTATATTTAATTTTTTTGTTAGAGTAAAAATTTTTTTACAGAAAATTACGTTTCAATTTAAATTAAAAATTTAAATTAACGAACTAAATAGACATGTCGTCCTTATACAAAATATAAATTTTTTCCCTCTTTTAAGGAGATAACATTGCAGTTTATCTTTGTGGTTTAGACTTGAGATTATGCACAAATTAATAGTATTTATATTTTTAATAATAACAATAACAAATTAAAATATAAAAACAAAAGAGAATTATTGTAGGAAAACTGAACAATCACTCAATTAATAATACTTGTCCCAAATTTTCATATTCTATCCTTTCCAAAAAAAAAAAAAAAATCGTATCCTAGGAGAAGATCGGTGTTTACAAAAAGTAAAAATTCGCTTCCATTTTTGCCCTCATTTCTTTCATCTCTCCCAGGTCTCCCTAGCTCTCAAATTTTTAGTTTTATTTATCAATTATTCAAGCCAATTTCCTTAACGCCAGTCACTCTTCGCCTAGCTCTCTCTTCTCGGAGAGAGAGAAGAGAAGGAGAGAGACGCAAAACGACGCCGTCTCTTGTCATCGCAAGCTCAGAGAAACCCTAGACGACCGGATTTCACGTCCCGTCGAAGCTCCCCATCGTCGGCGAAGGTATTTGTATTGAGACTTATAAATCATCCTTTTGGATGCTCTTATATTTCTCCTTCTTGTTCTTCCATTGATTTGCAAAACTTAGCTTTCTAAGTATGAGCTATGGCGAACTTAATTAAGTTACAGTGGCTTCTGTTGTGAACAATTCTTTCCTCGGACTTTTGTTTTCTCGGAAAATATTTCTTTTTCGGTACTTTCTCGTTGGCCAAACGCTTGATATTGGGAGCGATATGTGGGTCTTGTGTGGCTGATGAGTTGAAGTGCGGTGTGATTGTTTTGCAGGAAATTGGAAAGTGGTAGAATGGATAAGTTACGGGAATTTGGAAGAAGAGCCTTGTTTTACGTTAGGGTTCTTTCTGGGTACGAAGAACGGAGGATCCGATCGCTTAGATTGGAGATGGAGAGGCGGATTAAACAGGTTCAGCTTCCGTCTTATTCTTAATCTTCTCATTTGTAGGATTATATTGTCAAAAATGTGTTTGGAATGTTCTTGTTGATTTTGCTTTATAAGTGCCAGAAACTTTTAGGTACTAGGTTTGCCATTTTATGTGATGGAAAATTGGAAATGATGAATGTAATGTCAGAGATCATTATTAGAATGAATTTCTTTTGCTAATAGTAAAAGGAAATATCATTGGTGTCTATCGCATTTGCGTCGGCCTGGTCTATAGCAGAAATTTCGGGATTCACCAATAGAATAAAAATGACCTTACCCAGTTATACTCAAAGGATGGGTTCAATTTCACTCCCCCCACTACAAATATAGCATCAGACAGTCAAGCAGGGACCTCAAAGTGGGGCTCCACTCTAGAGTATCGAACCTTGAATCAGTCCTCAAGAGCGGCATCCTAACCGCTAGACTGGGAGTTATGATCTTGTTTTTGTTTGAAATACTGTATGCAGAGCCTTTCTCATTGCTTTGCAAATTGCATCATTAGGTACTGTATGAAGACATTTAACCTGTGTGCGTTTGTTGTATGTTCTGAATAGTGTTTAATCGTCTGTTGTAATCAATTGATGATTCCCATACAGTAATGTGGGAGCATAATCTTATGTATCTGTCAGAGTGTATAAAATATTGAAAAAGACTAGCATTATATCGGGGGGACTGATACTTGATCAGATTTGCAGTTAATAACTGGTTGTTATTCAGCGCGGGTGTATATGTAAAAGTTCATTTCATCTTTGTAAGAAAATTAAGGAAGCAAAATGATGATGTCAATTGTATTTGATTCTTCTATGCCTATCTTATAAACTTCACATTACTTGTCATAGGTTAGTTTCGCTTCAATCAACAAGATGATTGTTCTGTTCGAATGCAAGAGATACAAGCTTTGATAGACAAGCTTCTTTGCAACGAAAGCTTGTTAAAGTGTGATGTTGATAGGCTCCTAGAAGTTAGTTAGTTAGGTGATTGATTAGTTGTTGCTACTTTAGTATTCTCTTAAGTATTTAATTATCAGTTTGTGAGAAGGGTTAGTGGTATAAAAGGGAGAGGCTAGTAGTCAATAGGGATTATGGACTGATTTGTGAGTTTGGGGGTAACCCTTGGGGAGAGCTAGCAGACCTCTCGAACGGCTGCGAATCTATCTTGTATTCTCTTTCAATTACTTTTCTGTTCAATTCCTCAATTCAAGTCCGGTTCTTATCAAATTGGTATAGAGCAGTACTTTCTTGGGCATAGAAATGGTTGGAACGTGTGGACGTTAGCAGCGATTAGAAATGCCGATGTTCTCAGGAGAAGATCCGGATTCCTGGATCGTAAAAGTGGAAGAATATTGTCTGAAAAATTGATTTTCGGAACGTGGAAAGGTCTGGTTTGCAAAGGAATTCATGGAAGATGAGGTACTAGATTGGTTTCAGTGGGAGGATAGATTCGCGGACGTTTGAGAGATCTGCTAGCTCTACCCCAGGGTTACCCCCAAACTCACAAATGAGTCCATAATCCCTATAGACTACTAGCCTCTCCCTTTTATACCACTAACCCTTCTTACAAACTGATAACTAAATACTTAAGAGAATACTAAAGTAGCAACAACTAATCAATCACCTAACTAACTAACTGATAACTAACTAACTAACTATCAGATGTCTCTTAGAAAATGGAACCATGCTTCAGTTCAACTTTCTTCATCTTATTCTGTTTTAGCTTTCTCTATTCTTATTTTAGGCCTGATTTTGACGTCAAGATGGCGGTTGTCAATGCGCTTGAAATCATGTCTTTCTCCCTCTTACTCTCTCTCCAGGCAGAAGAAAGGAAGGCAGCTATAAGAAGGATCCCCGAGCAGGCTATTCTAGGAGAGGTTCGGCGTATGGTTGAAGAGATGCAAACTTTAAACAAGAAGCTAGAAGAAACGGTAGGTTGCAAATTTCTGTGGCACTGGTTTTTGATAGGGCTTTAAATTGATCATATTGTTGGGGTGCACCGTCTCGCTAACTTTTATTTAATCAAATCTTCTTTTTCAATACTGAGTGAGGACAAGGAACAGAAGTGGACTTTTAAATTTAAATAACTTAGGATCTTGTTTCTTGAGGCCTTTTGATGGCCAAAAAAAATTGAGTCTGAAGGTTTATATACGGTGCTAATCTTTGAATCACGATCACACTCTCACCACATCATGCATGATCTTATCTAAGCATGCTAGTGATCTAAGCATGCTAGTGTCATTCATTCAGAGATGATTAATATTATAATAGAAGCTCAACGGTTAACAAGATTGGATAACTTATGTTATCATGGCCGATGCCCATAACCCCTTTAAGCTTGATTCTAGTCGGATATTTCTCTCGGTAATGGGAATAATTGATCGGCTCAACCACTATTATTCGTAGGAAGCTGCTATTGAAGAGTACTTTACGCCCCTAGATAAAGAGGCTGAGAGTATAATGAAAGTGCAGCTTGAAGGGGAGGAGAAGACGATGAGGCAAATGATGGCAGCAATGCAAGAACAGGCTTTGCTCGAAAGAGCCGAGGCCGCAAAAAATGCAAAAGTGCATAATATAGACACAGAAGTCAGCAATAAGGACTCAGAATCTTCTGCTGCGCAACAAGCCAATGTGAGATGATTTTAGCAGACTTGAAATGGCAGATTTTAGAATCAACTTTTGTAAGAGTGCCCATCAGATTCTCTTTCCTTTTTCTTTTTTTTTGGCGGGGGGGTTGGGCTGAATCGTTATTTGTGCTTTGAGATACGTGGTTCTCTTATTAACCGAGTTAAAACTTGGTTAGGTAATAAGGTAAATCAACAATATTTTGTTCTGTGAAAATGTGATATGCAGTTTTGTCCCATTAAGTCAATTCATACCATGCGATAACGTCCAAGGATGACTTTATGCTTAGCGAGGTACTGATCAAGAATTTTACTAGTCTTAGAATTTTTACTAGGATCGGAGTGTTTTTCTTTTTCTACCCATTAACATGTTTGTGTAAGATTAAGATTGCGAATTTAGCAGGATCCATATAATTAGACACTTTCCCTAACAAAAAAAAAGGTAATAATAGTTAGAGGAACTAGGAAAGAGAAAATCTACCCCTAGCTATCCTTGCTACGCTTGACTTTGTTTCTCGTTCAATTTTAGAGATTCTAAATTACCTATGGACTCTTTTGTGAAACTAATGTTGTTTTCTAGTCTATTACCCATGGGACAAGGACGTTTTGATGGTGAAGTTATCATGGATTTTATTTCTAAATATAGTAGTAAATTAGGAAGGAAGGTATGTTTTTTTCAATTATACTTTGTAACAAGTATACAATAAAATGAAATATATATATATATATATTTATATAATTTTTTTTTATGAAGCGCGTGTGAGAGCTTTCCACGATATAAAAGAGGAGGCATTAGGTAGGTTTCAGAAAGTAAAGAGGCAAACATCAATCTGATATATAATGGTCCCTTTAGTTTAAAGTCAACCGCTCAACCCAAGAGCTGATTTTACACCCTATACGTTACAATACAATACGTGGATGTTTTTTTTTTAAACAATTGTATTTTTCCGTCTTTACTAATATATATGTGCTTGATAATAAAAAATGGGACAATTCTATAGCAGAGTAAAAATACCTTATTTCTAGTACATAGAGGTGAAATATTGGGCCACCGGCTCAGCTCTGACAGCCCGTGAAAATTTTGGGTCGGCCCGGTCCTAAATGAGAAAAGAATGGCCCAGTCCGGCTTTAAAGCCCGAAAAGTTTAGAATTGACCTGAAATTTTATAAGATATTTTCAAAAAAAAAAAAATTTAAAGAGAGCATTTGGATCGGGTTGGCCTTGCCCAAATAAACTTTTGGGATCGAAATTTTAGCCCGGCCTGATCTGAACTAACAGTGATGAGCCTCGGGTTAGCTCGTTTTGTCTAGTTCAAACTCACAGCTCTAGTAGCATACAGTTTTAAGTGTCAAAACACTTTCTTAGATCAAATCAATGTCATGTTAAATTGATTAGAATATGATAATTTAGAGAAACATGATAAAAAATGTTATCGCGGAAAAGCATCTTACTGATATATTTTTTTTTGTTATGCGTACTTAGAATCTCTTCTTTGAAAAAATAACCTAGAACTTATCTCTGCAAGCTCACCTGCGTTTATTTTTTGAGATATTTTTTTTTTATTTTTTATTTTTAGCTCTGCCTTCCTCAACCAGTTAGTCCAAGCACAAGTCATTTCACAATGCATAATACCATAACCGCATTAATGTTTGGTTTCACTTTTCCTTCCGATGGTGGATTTGATTTCATGCAATTTTTGGCTGTGTTGTGGAGCTTGAGGAATTGTTGACCTAGACAAAGACGTTCTAATCTTATCAAAGTGACCAGACATCAAATAAAGTTTGAACAGAAGAAGGCCCAATTACGCTAATCATGGCTTTCCTTTTTTTTTTTTTTTTTTCCCCCATCTTATCCTAGACTAGATGGTGCCTTTCGGTGATGCCTAGATTATAGAAGCACCATAAATTAGATCTCAATTGTCAAGGGTTGAAACTAGTTTTGACTTTTTAAGAAAAGTTTATTGGATGAATAATTCCTAGAAGTAGAAAGTAGGTATTTTATGTAATTATTTCTATTGGTTTTTTACAATTAAACAAATTAGAACGTGGACCGGTACTATTGGGTTTCTTTGGGCTATATGGTCCAAGCCCAGAATCTAGGCCCCGTTTTGGAGATGAACATCTCCTGTCTCAACCCAGGCCGACTGGCTCAAGTGTTATATTTAGCGAGAGTAATCTTTGATAAATGTCTTTAAAAGTGTGTGATTAAAAAATTTCGGAAATGGTAGAAAATATGCCAAATATCAAAAGCTTAATAAAGTATATAGGTTAATTTTTAGTTATAGAAATTAATATGCCATAACTTGTTAAGTTATGGTTCATAACCAGATAAGTTATAGACAAACTTGTCAAGTTATAGTTTATAACCAGATAAGTTATTGACAAACTTGTCAAGTTATGGTTCATAACCAGATAAGTTATGGACAATAACTTATCAAGTTATGGTTCATAACCAGACAAGTTATGGACGAAAATAGTAATTTGGCCTATTTATTAACTTATGTAAACTATTGACCTATTAATTTTAATTCATCTCAAGTCTTGGCCTATTTCCCTCTTTTTCCCTTAAAATTTTTGTCTTTTACTTTTAATTTATAACCATTTTAATTAAATAATTACACTAATAAAAGAGCATTTATCAAGAATAAGGGGTAAAGGTCCACTCTCAAGAGTAAATTTTACATTTTACTCTTGATTCATAATATTTTTAATCAAATAATTATACTAATAAAATGGTATTTATCAAGAGTAAGGGATAACGTCCAAATTCTGCACTCTCAAGAGTAAATTCTCTATTTTTTCTTTAACACTAACTGGATGTGGTGAATTAGAAAAATTGATATTCGAATATAAACTTCTAAAGAAAATTTTATGGTTAATTTACAAAAAAAAAAAAAAAAAAAAAAAAAAAAAAAAAAAAAAAAAAAAAAGTAATACAGATGAATAACTAAACTTCAGGGAAAAAAAACACTCGACCTATTTGATGATAATTTAAGAAGAGAATGACTGATCAATTTAGTAAGTCTCCTATCTACAAACTAAAATTAATTTACAAATCTCATATTTACTTTATAAATCTCATATTTACTTCTTTTGCTAATCAAATCTTATATTTATTTAGTAATATAATAGTACCGGCTAATTAATTAGGAAGTTTCATATTTACTGACTAATACTTGGTCTTTTTTTTTTATGGTTGGTCATTTTTTTCATATCAATAATTGAAGTTATTTATTGAATAAGGAAAGAAAAGCAGATCATTTACTAAAATTTCTTCTTTTTAGTTATTATTATTATTAGTATTTAGGAAAGCTCAAGCTAAACTTTGACTAATAATCTTGATATTTATTAACATGGTCATCATCAACGTCGCCATCAAACCAACATCACTATTTGGTTGCGTTATGAAAAAAAAAAAAAAAAAAAAAACCTTAAAATCATGGGCTTAAAAAGGCTAAGGGCAGTGGAATCTATCCATACATATCTCTAAGACTCTAACCGAAGATTTCCCATCACAAAATTTCTTTTATCCTCTTACTCCCAAATAACTTTTTCTCTTTTGGTTATCTTATATTGAATCTTTATAATGGAGAAAGTTATTTTGTTCTATTAATTTAATCATTATTATTTGCAATTGTTAAATTAATTTATAATGTTTAGATATGTATATGTTCACATTAAAAATTTATAACGTACCGTACATAATTAAACTGTTAAAAAATTAATCTAATGATCTGACGGAACAAAATAGTCTTTTCCACAAGACACTCTTATCTTATAGTAACACTGTGGGCTCGTTTAGTTCGTTGATTCGAGTTTTTAATTCGAGTTGAGATGTGACTTTATGTGAGAGCTTTTTACTGTAATAAAACTCGAATTCTAAACTCGAATCGGTAAAATGAACGGGGCCTGTGAATTACGTTGCATTGTGTTGCTTGCTTTATTTCTTTCTATTTTTCTTTTCTCTAAAAGTACTTCAAGTGAGATTGTCAAAGAGAAACTGATTAATTACCGTAGTTTAGTGCTTTTCGTTCTAAAGTCAGAGAAGATTATTTTTCTTTATGATGAAAGGTAACTACAAATGCCTAATTTATTCTTTTGGCCCCATTATATATGTGTTTTATCAGTTGCAAATCCCGATCAGAGCCCACCATAATTTCTTGTTTGTTTTGGCATAATCTGGTTCTTGATATTCATAGTTTTATTGATGATATATATACACATACATACATATATATATATATATATTAGAAAAGGTCCCTTTTCATCTGACTCAATCACCAAGCATTTAGGCTTAGTGGGTGGTTAACTTAATCTTGTCTTTATCATTTTGAACTTATTCCAGAGCTTAGCAACTGTTTATACATTAACAGTGTATTTGGTAGGGTGGAAAAGAGAGGAAAGAAAATAGAGAAAGGATTTTATAAAGAAAAATGAAATTTTAAGTTGTTTAATAGAGAGGAAATGAGGAATGAAAGAAAATAAAAATTTATGAGGCCCATCAATATTTAATCCTTCCAACTTTGGAAAGAAAAAAGGAAGAAAAAATTTGACAAAAAAATGAGATATAAAATAACAATTTTAACGTTCACCATTCATCATATTTTTATTTATATTGGGATATTATTGTAAAATGTCTTAAATTTGACATTTTTCTTTTCACTTTTCTTTCTCTTCTACCAAACAATATGAGAGAAAAGCATTTTACTTTTTTCACTTAAGTATTTTACTTCTATTTTCTTCCTATTTTCTATCTATCCTACCAAACATGGCATAAAGCATGACTTTACTTTGATGTTCTGGTGATTTTATTATTATTATTATTATTTTGTGGACCAAGGTTCTGCTGAGATTTACTACTAGTAGCAAATATTTATGGAGATTATAAAACGTTTCCCTTGTTTTTAATCTGTTTTTACTTTTTATATATGCTGTCAATCATAAATCTAATTATTAAAACAAAATCAACTATAAAGCATGTTTATACATTTTGCCGGCGTTTTATATAAATACATATATATATATATATACACACATATATACACACACACACATATATTTAGCCATTTAACCTGAATGTGCATCTTCCTCACAGTATCTCCGGAATGGCGGTGAAAGAAATTCGATCCGTTATCCTTATATACACACATATATATACACACACACATAGAGAGAGAGAGAGAGAGCGAGAGAGAGAGAGAGAGAGGAGAAGAAGAAGAAGAATGAGTAAGTTATTAATGCTTGATGGC